ATACTTAAGTGACTGAGCCACCAGGCGCCCCTAAAGATTTTATTTTTCAGTAATCTCTACACTCGGCCCGGGGTTCGAACCTACCACTTCAAGATCTAGAGTCACGCGTCCCACAGACTGAGCCAGCCAGGCATCCCACATTTTTGCCTTTTTTTCTGATTTAACCAATCAAGTTTGCCCAGGACTTGAGTTAATGTTTTGAACCTGATGATAATCTTGAATGAATCATCGCTTCAGAATCAAACCCAGGGGGCGCCTGGGTGGCTCAGTGGGTTAAAGCCTCTGCCTTCGGCTCAGGTCATGATCTCAGGGTCCTGGGATCGAGCCCCGCATCGGGCTCTCTGCTTGGCAGGGAGCCTGCTTCCCTTCCTCTCTCTGCCTTCTTGTGATCTGTCTGTCACATAAATAAGTAAAATCTTAAAAAAAAAAAAAAAATCAATCCTGGAATGGTAAGACTTTGGGGGCTTCTCTCCCTGGTTAGCCAGCGCCCATAGAATAAGCAGCGTCCCTGTGCCTGCCTCTGCCAGAAGCAAGGCAGGCAGGGCTAGAACAGTTCACAGAGTTGGTGGAGCTGGGTGGGGGGGGAGCCCCCAGTCAGTCAGGCATCTACTCTCTTTGGCTCAGGTCGTGATCTCGGGTTCCTGGGTTCAACCCCAACATCAGGCTCCCCCTCAGTGGGGAGTCTGCTTCTCTCTCTCTCTCTCTCTCTCTCTGCCTCTTTCTCTCAAATAAATAAATAAAATCTTAAAAAACAAAATAGTTTAGAACAAACAAAAAACAAAAACAAAGAGTTGGTGTGGGGGTGGTTTGGAGAAGTCTCTGTGACTGCATGTCTAGACTTGAAATGGCCCGTGGTGTGCTCTAAACGTACAGAGACCTTTTCGTCTGATAGCTTTCAACCAGATTTCGCTGGCTGTAGCTGTGAATTCTTGTGTTTCACTCCTAAGTGAAATTGGGGGCTCTTGTAGAAATAGGCAGAGTCTCATCCAGTTGTGTGGTATGGGAGACATAGGTGCCTTGCTGGGGTCACAGGAGGCCCTGTAGGCAGGGGAGTAGGTGCTGGGGTCCTGGCCAAGACGTAGAGCGGTGAGACCAGCCTGGTACTGTCACCAGTGCCGGGAGTTCAGGGCCAGACGCGTTGGAACGAAGGTCCGCCTTCTTCCCAGCATCTCCTTCTCTGCTTTTCTCTGAAATGGTGGCATTGTGTTCGTCAGGACCTGTCAGGCTTCAGTTCTGAGAGAAACCCTGCACCCGGGGTTCCTGTCCCTCTTTAGATTCCACGGAGCGTCTGTCTGCCGATGTGTGCTCCCCAATTTGGGGTAGCTACACCAGACCGGACGAGCCTGTGGGACATCATGGGTCACGAGGAGTCCAAAACCAGTCGTTACAGAATTTGAGAGGAAGGTCAGAAAATGTCACCTTCTGAAATGGAAACTGACAGAGAGAAGCAAATTATCTGAGAAGAGTCACTTAAATAGTAACTTCTGCCGATAAAAAGAGATTATTTCTTAACCCGAGCCAGGAATCTCCATTTGATACAAGATTTCTGAAATCTTAGGACTTGTGTTGATTGTGTTGGTGACCAGGGATTCTAGTTACCAGAGGAGGGACGCACTGGTGGAGCCGGGTAGTCCTGCCCCTGGCACTCTTGCTGGCGGACAGCAGGTCAGGCATCAGAAAGGGGAGGACACCCCCTCCACCCCACAGTGTAGCAGAGCCGGGATTTGGGTTTGTGCACTCTGTCTCTTCTGAGTTGGGCTAGTTTGACTTGGTCCCCCAGGGCTTCCCCACCCCTAGGTAAACCAGTAAAGTCTGCTTCTTGAATATTCCGGTCTGCGAGTACGGCTGTGGCTGATGCTGTTACTTCCTGGACTTTGCCGGGAGCCCCAGAGCAGCCCAGTTACTGCTCTCCTTTGCCTTTCTGCCCCTCCTCTCGCTTCCTACCTTTGTTTTTTTCCTTTCTCATCCACCTCTTACTGCTAACCTGCCTCCCCTTAAAGATTCATCCCCAACCTCTTTGTCTCCTTTGATCCTTTTGAAGACGGGGACTCTGTAACAAAATGGACTGGGATGTCCCCTTCCCTGGTGTGCCTCCATCCTCCAGCTTTCTGTGGGGGCTCACAAAGACAGTCATTGCAAGGGCAAGGGCAAGGGCAAGGGCAAGGGCAAGGGCAGCAGCAGCCAGTGATGCTGTGCTGCTTCCTCAGGTGAGTGGAATTTGCAGATGTTGCTTCACTGCATCTGACTTCGTTCACCTTGTCGCCTGGGCCTCTCCCATAAGGGACCTGCCCTGTCCAGAACTGCCTGGCTCCCCATTATGGTTCTTCGTGACCTTCTGCCTCTATGCCTTCCACCTGGTTTTGCTTGTTCTCTCAGACCAAGAAGGGTGTACTTCATTTTTGTAGAGATGTAGCCCCACAGAGCAAGTGATACCCGTTATCTGTTAGTCGCAACAGAGCTTTTGTTTAGGTTTTGACCCAAAGAGGAGACCACACCACTTAGCAGAGCACAGGGCGTCATCTTCTGAAGTCTGCTCAGTGCTACTTGACCAAAAATAGCCTTTCCAGGAATAGTCATGGGAAATCAAACTTTCCTTAGCACCTCCCCTCTGTTATGCTTATGTCCTAACACTTGCTTGTGTCCTGGTGAGCCGTGGTCGCTCTGAGAAGTCGTAGAGTGAGGAGCTTATATGTGTATTCCTTTCACTACGTGTGGTGTTTAGGCCTCTGACACAGAAGTCTTGACCGTGGACCAGGGTTCTGTTCATCCTTATGAAAAGAGAAGTTGCCTTCAGGTGATAAGATTTCTTGTCGGGGCCCACATCTAGATGCTTCCTCACACAGCGTCCTGAGGCCTGTGTAATTCCACTGAGCTATTGCATCTCTGGAGGAGACAAGCATTCTCCTTATAGTGCACCCTGTAGGAAAGTTTTGGCTTGGTGCAGCTCTCGGAGCATGAGACTGACAGCAGATTGATTGCAAGTCCTTGTCCAAAAAGAGAATGGACTGACTCATGATACCTGGACAGACTCCAGAGGGAGCTGCTCTCTCCGTTTGCTGGCAGGGTCCCCCCTCTTAGCGGGGCCAGCTCTGGGCACACTGGTATCCAGCTAGCCATCTGGACGTAGTCAGGATCAGCTTTCTCCTGAAGCTGTTGCATTTCCATCTTGTTCTCTAATCTGATGGAAGAATTCCTGCTCAGCTCTGATAAGCCATCCTGCCTGGTATGATGGTGTGTGATGGAGTTTGATGGGAGTGCTCGGGAGCAGAGTGGCGTTCAGAGGACACAAGGAAGAGAAGATCGGGATCTAGTGGCTTTACCATCTCCAGGGGTTTGAGCATCTTGGGGGGGAGTTGCTGGCATCAGAGAGGGCCTCAAAAGATCTCAATTCTTGGGCTGCCTCTGTGGTTTACTTTGTGACGTCGGGTTGGTTTCTTAACCTCCCTGAGCCGCAGAAGAGGATAAAAGTTCTTTGTCTATTAGGGTTGGTGTGAACAGAAAATGAGTGTCTGGGGGAAGCGTATTGACAGCCATAAAGCTTTATACTGATGTGAGTCATTACTTTTAGAGCTGGTCCTTTATATTACATGGCAGGCATGTCTACCTTGGGGACAGAGGCCCATTTATTCAGGCATGGTCCGTAATGCCCTCTTGAAGGGCTTTTCTCTATCCAGTCTCCATCTGCTGGGCCTGGGCAAATTCTCTATCTTCCCTAAGGCCCTACAGAAAGAAGGAAGCAGTTTGCTGTCCTGAGAAAAACCTGGTTGGGACATCTCACATTCAGCTAAAGTAATGTGTATTTTACCACAAATTTTTTTTTTTTTAAATGGACTCCTATATTAAGCTGTTTGCCTGTATGCCTTATTTAGCCCTCATAGTGATATGAAAGTGAGAGTTCATGTAATAAAGTTTAAAAATGTAAGCTTTCCCATAAAAATCTTGAATTCGTTTTTTCCTAAAATAGGAGCTCTGGCCTCTCAGCCAGGGCTCTACTGCATGTCTGTGTCCTGCGGCCAGCCCAGTGCCCTGCGGTGCCTCTCAGCCCCTTTAGTTCCCCCACTGTACTCCCTGCAAAGGAGTTTGGGTTACTTGCCCGGCCCCTGGAGGCATTTGGTTCTGACCCTGTTTGAGGGCCTCTAAATCCCGCAGATGTTAAACCTTGCATTTATGGTGGAGAAACTTGAGTAGGAAGTATCATTTGCAGATGGGAACAAAATGATACAGTGTGGAGATTTCAAACTGTAAGTTATTCGTGGAAAGCCTTGGAAAGCCCTTACATGGTAACAGGCTTTAGACTAATGTGAGACATAGTATCTACTCAGGCCATAACACTGGTAGTAATAAAAAAAAACTTACAAGAATTACAATTCTGATACAGACAGTGCTGTGGGCCTAGATTCTCCCTGCCTGCTTGTCATTTCCCAGAAGCCATCCAGGTCATTCCCATGCTCTTGGTGCACCTGCCAGTCAGTCCTCAAATAGTTGTTGAATGCCCGCATGTGTCCTAAGTGTGAGTGAGAGGTCTTCCATCTGGTGGCTTCCTGGCCCCTCCACAGAGTTGATGGGACCCTCAGAACACAGTCTGTTGTGCTTGCCCCTAAATACATGTGGGGTAAGTCGTAAAAACAATGTTAAACACAACTCAGCACCAGGCAGAATGAAGGTCAGTGTCAGACAGGATTGAAATCTAGCTTTGTACAGTGAGTCAAGCTTCATATTGTTTACAGGAGACAAAAATAAGAAGAGGAAAAGATGAGAAGGAAAAGAGAGAAACATACTCTGGGAAATAGTAACCAAAAGAAAAACAGGCGCAGCTTTATTCATGTTAAATAATAGATTTTAAGGCAAAGAAGATCATTTCATAATGATGAACAAGGTAATTTACTAGAAAATAATCTCTGATTCTTTGCCTAGTGGGTAGCCCTAACAGGTGAGAGGATGGAGAGGTTCTGAATGCTAGAGTCAACCAGCTTGACCTGTACTTACCAACCGGAGAATAGTCATTTGCAGGACATTTGGAACATTCCCCAAAACTGGCTACCACCCAGCCTTGAGGTGGGTCTCAGCAAATTTCAAAGACTTTATTGGCAGTTAAGGAAGTGATTCTTCACATTTTGCAAGTTCTAGACTCCTTTGAAAATCCTATACATCCTGTAGGTCAGGATTGTCGGCTCCAACACTGCTGACATTTGGGGCTAGGTGACACTCTGCCGTGGGGCTGTTCTGTGCATTATAGGATTTTCACAGCGTAGCGTTCCTGGACTCTACCCACTGGTTGCCAGTAGTACCTCCTCTCTGGCAGGGACAACCAAAAATGTCTCCAGACATCGCTAAATGTCCCCTAGTGGGCAAAGCCAGTCCTGCTTTAGAACCGCTGTGAGAGGTCTTTTCTTCAGAGAAATAATAGTTTTTCATACACCTTTTCCTACTCCAGTACTAAATGGTCTTGCCCTCACTGAGGACAGCTGAGTGGAATGTTTCATAGGAAAAAGCAGTGGGGCAGCCAAGCAGCCTGAAGGTTAGGTCTTTGTCCGCGCACAGCGTCCCCGTCCCGCGTGTGGACGCTTGTGCGCAAGGCTGTGGGAGCACCTCAGAGTTCCTGGTGCCGAGGGTGTGAGGGCTCACTGCCATCCAGTTTCACGGATGTTAGGCTTCTGTTTTGTTCTAGACCTTTGGCTAGGCGCCAGTCCCAGAGTCCAAGTCCATAACAGTGGGGAGAAGAGGCTGGAAAATATGTGATACCTGTGCTCATGAAGGTCTGGGAAAGGGAGAGCTTAATGTCTGAGAAGCAGGTGAGGAACTACGCATGGTGCCAGGGAGGACTTCACCACGCAAAGGCCGATGTCAATGTGGAGTTTGCAGGGTCAGTGGAGGTTTGCAAAGGGGAGGCCACTGCGGGCCGGTTGATCAGCGTGCGGAGTTCGGGGGCTTAGGGACAGCCCAGCTTCGCAGTGATGTAAAACAGGAGCAGAAGACAAAGGAAGCTGGGGACAAGGCGTGCGTAGGAGCTTGGACTTGATCTGGCAAGCAGTTGAAGGGGCTTTAGTGGGGAAGTGACACAACCAGATTTTTGTGTAGAGAGGTGATTTGAGTGGCTCCGTGAAGGACAGATTGCAGGCAGGAGATGAGTTGGAAGCTCTACAAAGAACCCAGCTGCATGACGAGGTCTAGAACTGTCACCGTGGCCATGGGGATGGAGGGAGATGAACCCTCAGGGAGTCAGGTTCCCAAACCCGAGTCTAGTAAAGGGAGGTCTGCATCCATTACCTCAAAGGGCACAGTAACGCCCCTGCTCAGAGGACACCATCCTTAGCTCTGAAAATAAAGACATAAGTTTTTATCTAAGAGAGATTTTTTTCCACTTTTTATATACATTTTTTTCCTCTAGGAAATAGACAGACGGTTGGAAAAAAAACTGAAGATCACACAAAAGGAGAGGTAAGGCTGCTGTCTGGTCTGAGGGCTCATGCTCTCTGCCGGCTGAGAGCTGGGCAGTCAGTGGTGTTCTCCAGGTGGCCCTTAGGCTTCCAGGGCAGGCTCCCGAGCGTGTCCCTCCAGGATATGGTGGCTTGAGTCTTTGAGAGTGAGGCTCGACTGTCGCATCTGCCTTCTAACTTAGTGGGTACGCGGTGTGAGGTGGTCTGGTGGAAAGTGGGGAGGTGACATGTCAGAAAACGTGGGTTTTAGGCCTGGCTCTGTTCCAGTTGCTCCGAGGTTTGGGACAAGTTGTTTTCCCCTCTGGACATGAGTTTCTTTCTCTGTGACATAAAGAGGTTGGACAGATGATTTCTCTGGGCCTTCCGTGACGTGGTGGCTGAGGGCATTATGGGGGTATTATGGAAGAAAAGACTCTCAGTTCTCAAAGACCGTTTTAAGGATATTTTCCCAGACAGAAGAGAAAGTGGGTTTCAGAGCAGGTGAAAGTTAACCTCAGCCGTCTGACTTTGGACTTAGGTAACCTGTGGGCTTCCCACAGGGAAGGGAGGAGGAGAGGACCTCTCTGGACTTGGCTTACCATTCCCCAGGGGTGCCAGGGTGCCCTGCCTGCCGGCTAGTTTCCTGGCTCCCTGCCACTGATCAGGTGGCCGGCTCCTTGTCTGTCTGCTCGTCTCAGCAACTGCACTGATGTCTGGTTACAGTCCCCTTGGCACGCCATTCCTGTCCCGCACAGGACTTGTCCCAGGTCCCCTGGCGGCAGCTGAGTTCTCTAGCCCCTTCACCCGCTGACAACCGTGGCTCTGAAAACAGGCCCCTGTAGGCTGTTGGGTTCTGAAGAGAAGCTAGTTTGGGCTGCTCTGGGGAGGGTCTTTGTGGCTGCTGAAGGTCCATCATTCCTGCCTGGATCCCTTTTTCCCCTTTGGCTTTTGTTTCTCTCCCTTCCTGTGTGGTTTTCCACCTCTCCTTGTGGACACGTTGCCCGGTGTGCACATCCACCAGCCTTGGACAAGGCTTCTCCTCTGAGCACTGCCAAGCACTGTTTCTAGGATCGTCCTCTACCCCAGCCCCGCCGCGTCCCGCATCCCAGGGAGCCATGGTGAGGGAGGTGTCTCTGATCAGAAGCTCTTCTGAAGAGATCACCCAGTTGTCTGGTGTAGCTTGTCTCGGGCAGGCCCTGGTCACTTACCGAAGGCTGAGGCAGTTTGGTAAATCCTGTCTTGGTGCCAGGCAGGGATGGCGGAGTGGGCTCCTTTGTAGTGTTTGACTGGTGTGAGCACATGTGGTGGAAGGCCATGGTTGGTGTGAACACTTCGCTGACCCCTGCCCTAAGGGGCTCCCACCACACCAGCCTGTTATATACTCTGCTCTGTGTAGGGAAGTTGGGATTTTAACTGACGTCATTGGATTCTGGGAATAAATATTTTGCCACAGGGGCCAAACAGTGGTTGACGTGACTGTGAATCTGGGGATAGAAGTCCCAGAATGAGGTGCTGTTCCAGCCCCCCTTTGCCTGGGGTTAGGTCTGAGGAGCAGACCTGAGGACCTCGTGAGCTTATGGCAAGGTGGCTCTTTTGAGAAATCCCTCTTGAGGAGTGAGAGTTTTGGTGTCTGGTCAGAGGCCAGAGAATAACAAATAGAATTAGAAGGAGGGAGGGAAAAGTGGGCGTGGGTGAGGGACACAGATGGGTCCTCTGTAGTCAAGGGTAGGACTTGTGAAGCTGTATTTGCTCTTTGTCAGCAGGAAATCCAAATCTCCTCCCAAAGTGCCCATTGTGATTCAGGACGATAGCCTTCCCACGGGGCCCCCTCCACAGATCCGCATCCTCAAGAGGCCCACCAGCAACGGTGTGGTCAGCAGCCCCAACTCCACCAGCAGGCCAGCCCTTCCTGTCAAGTCCCTAGCGCAGCGGGAGGCAGAGTACGCCGAGGCCCGGAAACGGATCCTGGGCAGCGCCAGCCCTGAGGAGGAACAAGAGAAACCCATCCTGGACAGGTGAGTGTAGCTGGCGGGGCTCACCAGCAACCACTCTGCCGGGCCGGCAGAGTGATGAGAAGCAGGCAGAATCAGGTCTGGAACCGTGGCAGCTCCAGCTGCCAAGCCTGACCTGGTGGGCAAGTTCAGGGTCTGCTCCGTTGGCTCAGGACTGCAAGCTTTGAGGTCATGGCTTCCTGCTGTGCCCCCTCTGCAGTTGCGGGCACGGGGCGGGTTGCGGGGTGGGGGGGAGGCAGTGTGGCACAAAGGTTAAAGGCACAGACTCTGAGTCAGAATCTGCCATTTCCTTCCACTTCCGGCTGCCTAACCTCTCTGCACCCTCATAGCCTCATCTGTGGAGGAAATGGGATAACCATAGAACCTCCCTTGTCAACTCGTTGTACAAATAAATGAGTATAGTGTTCTGAGAACCCCACCTGGCACAGCAGATGGCACCCCACGACGTGCTTAGATATTATCTTCCAGGTCTCATAATAGCTCTCTGTGATGTTTGGTGAATTTTCTAAATCCTTTTTTGTTCCCAGCATTTTTTTTTCCCCTCTGCAGTCCTAGAGGTTGCATTATGTAAATTTGTCAGCTCCTGCTAAAGTGGTATTTGTTAAAACAGCCTCTTTCTGACTTTGAGAGGCCTCCTTGGGCTTGCTATTCTGGGACTTGAACTAATCTATATACCTTCTTCCTGTCCCCTCATTCATTCGATAGACTCCCATTCTCCTCCAAGCCTTCACTTGGCAGACAGAAAAGGTCTCTCTCCTTATAGTCTTCCATGTTAATGTGAGTCAGCCATTAACCACATGATTTGAAGAGAAGCAGGAGGGCAGCCATGGCTGGTGCCTGGTCCCTCTACTGACTTCTTGGTTAGGAGTTTTCCTTTGCCCGAGACCCGGAAGGGTCATGCCACGTAGTTCTGTGGAGGCTGAGCTGTCCGTGGTCATGACCTCTGGACAAGATGGGCCCATGAGCACCAGCACCCCCACCCACCCACCCACCCACCCCCGCCCTCTAGATTCAGGGGAAGAGTGTGGCCACTGCTCAAGGTGAACACAGACCACCTGCCCCTTGTGCCCATGGGGACGTCCCAGCTTGCAGATTCCCCTGAGTCCGCTTGTCAGAGAGGGAGTCAGAGTTGGCTGACAGCTACTTTGCCTTCTGCCCTAGCTGCAGTTTTAAGATTTGGTTTTAAGATTTGGGGACCTCTTTTATGTCCTTTTTCAGGCCTCCCTCTGATCTTTTTCTCTTCAGGCCTACCAGGATCTCCCAACCCGAGGACAGCAGGCAGCCCAGTCATGTGATCAGACAGCCTCTGGGTCCAGATGGGTCACAGGGCTTCAAACAGCGCAGATAAATGCGTGCGGGGAAGGATGCCGCCGCCGCCGCCATCACCGCCTCTTGGGTCGTCCGCCACGGGTCGCACTGCCGTGGCAGACAGCTGGACTTGAGCAGAGGGAACGACCTGACTTACTTGCACTGTGATCCCCTTTGCTCCGCCCACTGTGACCTTGAACCCCATGCACTGTGACCTCCCTCCTTCTCCCCCTCTTCCCACTGTGATTGGCACGTCTACAAGGGCTGTCCCAAGTCAATGGAAAGGGAAAGGGTGGGGGTCAGGGGAGGGTTGGGGGGACCCACGAAGGACTCAGAGTAGAGAGTCAGACAGTGCCACTTGGCCACTTGGGGTAAAGCCAGTGCCAGCAATAACAGTTTATCATGCTCATTAATTTGGGATTTCAAAACACAGATGAGAACTCCCGTCCGCCCACCCGCAAGTGCATGTCTTCATCACTTAAAAGCAAGTTGCATTTGAAAATATCCTTTCTTTTTTTTTTTTTTTCTCCTTCCTATTTTTGTTTGTTTATACAAATACCTGATTTACAAGAAAAAGTGCATGGGAGGGGTTTTAGCAGTTTAATGAATTTTTAATTGAGAAAGGGTAGTTTGGTAGTCTACTTAAAAATGTTTCTAGGAAATTCACTAGAAACATTAACCAATAGGACTTTGGTGAGCTTAGCTTCTGTATTCCTACTGCCGCCCAGAAAAGGGGCAGGGCTCTGCAGCCCCCAGGACAGATGAGCACCCCATGCCTATACCTCCCTCCCTCAGCTAAGTCCCAGGGCATCTTGGCCCTACCTGGAGACTGAGCTAGCTCTACAGGCTCAGAGAGCCTGGGGAGGGTGCCAACCCCACCTCTAGTATTTTGGGAAGATAGGGGAAGTGAACAGACTTCCCCTTCCCATCCCCCTCAGGGTGGCTCCCCTGCCAGCCAGGCTTGCTCCCTCTCGAAGAGAGCAGGGAGTGAGATGCACTCCGGGCTCAGAAGCAAGGGATGTGAGACTTGCTCAGTGTTTTGCTCTTAGCCCGAGGAGAGCCAGGAGAGAATGGCTCCAGGACTCTGAGCCTCCTGCCCAGTGTGCACAGAAGGCGGCTGGATCTTCCCACTCCAGCAAGGCCTGAGCTCTGAGAGGTCTGTGGGGACCGTCTCTGTTGATGGCGCCAGCTCGGTAACCACGCCTGGTACATTTCCTTCGTGAAGTCATTACCTTGGGAGCCAACCATTTTGAATACATTTGGGAAAAGGCAAGCTGTGCATTGCAAAGATGGGTGGTGACAGATTGGTTCCCCATAGACGCAAAGATGGGTGGTGACAGATTGGTTCCCCATAGACCCAGGCTACCCTTCACCCATTTTTCCAGAGCGAGGGCCTGGAATGAAGGCAGTTTCCTCTCTGTCCCTAGAGTCTAGAGTTTTGCTTTGGCTCTTTAAGGTGGAAGAGGCTAAGGGCAACTGCCTAGAGCAGCTGTGTGTGTGTGTGTGTGTGTGTACATTCGGGGTCCTCTCAGGCTCTCTGGTCTCTTCTGTTGCACTGCGCCTTATCCCTCAGCCAGCCAGATAGCCTCCCCACTCAGTGGATGAGTTAGGGAGTGGGTGATAGGACATTTTGTGATTCGGGCAGCTAGTGGCCAAGGTGACAAGCTAGGTTTTGCGGGCTCACTCCACCTTTGGCTCACTTGGCTCTCAGCCTTGCCCTGTGAGAACGTAGGCCCAGCAAGCCACGTCCCACTGCATCTCCCACTGCGGAGGAAGGGCCAGCTGCCAGCTGAATCAGCGACTAGTCCGTAGCACAGCTTTGTGACGGTGAGCAGCCAGGAAAACTGTGCGTGCGGAGAGCTGGAACAGAGCTTCGGTCATGGAGAAGGCCCAGGCTGTTGGGTTGTGCCCACAGGCTGTTGTGAGGGGGGTGACCCCCGGGAGTGGGCAAGGAAGAAGGTTGGCTGCTGTCTTTATAGTTCCACTGCCCTGACCAAGTTTCCTCCTTTTAGCTGTACAGTGTCTAGCCCTCATGTAATAGTGGTTTCTGGCCCAATGACACTGTCCTTTCAGTTGGGAGTGGGGTACAGAGAGGTAGGCCAGGTGGCATGGCTAGGAGTATTGATTGCTCAGCCATCGGGACCACCTGCTCTTTCCCCCTCCCCTAGTGGGGGCCGAAGGGAAGGCCAGCTGATGGGTGTCTGCGGATTGAGGATGTAGTAGGGACTGATGTTCCCGCCTCCCTTGGGCCAAAGATGGGGCTTTGCCCGCTGTGTGCCTGCCACCACCCACCAGCAGTTGTACCCTTGGCTTCCCAGATGGAGAGGTGGCAGGCAAAATTTTAAAAAGAAAGAAAGAAAATGAAAACAAGGAACGGTATTGTGTTGGGGGGAGGTGGGAGGGGAGATGGGAGAATGGTTTGGATTTTGTGTGTGTGGGATTTTTTTGTTTGTTGTTGGTTTTTTTGGGGGGGGTAGTTGTCTGTAACTTTCCTTAAGTGCTTCTTTTATTTCTTTTCTTTTCTTTTTTTTTCTTTTTTTTTAAAGTAAGCTGCAGGCTTTGGCTTGGAAAACCCCAGGGGGGTGGGGGGGGCAGAAACCTGAGGCTGCTGCCCCTTTATCTGCCTTCACGGTACTGTCCCCTTCCCCCAGCTCCTCCCTGACCCCATGAGCCAGGCCTCAGACCTTCCAGCTAACCGCTTCCCATGAGCCACTACTCTGATGTCAGCCTATAACCAAAGGAGCTGGGGGTCCAGGCCTGGTGACCAGCCCTTCTCAGCCCACTCAGTCAGGGTGCTCCCCACCTGCAGGCAGGAGGCAACACCCGATCTGCTACCATCAGCCCCTTCCAGAGCCCGCTGCCCCGCCCCGCCCTGTCCAGCCCAGCCATACCCTGCTCTGCCCCGTGTGGGGATGCTCTGCTCAGGGATGGGCCGGCAGGGCTGCCCCAGCCTCCCTGGTAAGCAGAGACTCTGGAAACCTCTGGGGTCCTGTTTTCTGGTCGTGTGATCCCCGGGGTGCACATGGGCCCCTTGGGTGTCTGAACAGAAGGGCATGGGAGGGAGGGCCGCACCCCTGCAGTGCTGCTCTGCTGGTCTCGCGGGCAGCCGCCTACCCCACCCCACCCCGCACCGCGGGCTCCTGAGTCGGCAGATTAAGCATTTTATAAATTGTATTTTAAATACATGTTTTAAACTTGTCAGAGCCTTGTCCTCATTTCAGTCCCTGGCCTCCTGACCTCTTGCTGTGCCTGCTTGGTGAACCACTGGGGGAGCTACCTCTGCTCCATCCCAGGGAGGAGCTCTCTGTTAGAGAAATAGGCCTGGGGTGGTGTGTGGGTTGGGGACAAAGACCCACGCACCCTTAGGTTCCAAGAGAAGGGCCCCCATGGGTCCTGGGGCTCTTTGGGTGAGAGTATGGCTGAGACTCCCTTCTGCCCTTCTGCAGGGTCGGTCTGCTCCTTTTAGGGTCCAGAATCTTTCCCATCATTGCCTTCGAGCAATTGGAGAGAGATGCTCTCTGCCCTTGGGGGAGACTCAACTGAAGAGAGTCCCAGGTTCAAGGTGTTTCAAGGTTTCAAGGTGTGTCTTGCTTCAGGGTTTCCTAAGCCTGTGGGAGGCAGGGGCCCTGCACTCTGAGAGCCAGGTGGAAGGGTGAAAACCTGGGGGCCTTCCCAGCACTGGACACAGAGGCCAAGGTTCTTGGTGTTTATTGGCTTACCAGGCCACAAAAGCAAAATCCAGCAGCAATACCGGCCTAAGAACCTGTCCGCCTGCAGGTCCTGAACAGCTGCCCCGAGTCGGGACTCCAGAGGTCAGTGGGTTCGAGCTGGCGCGGAACTGAGCCACTTGCAGCTCTCAGAGCCGTGTTCCCTAAGGCGAGAAGTGAGAGGGGGGTAGGAAATGAGCCATTCCCAAGTGCCCCAGGGGAGAGGTGGCTTCCCTGGGATGCAGTGGAGCCAGGCAGTTGGGCTGGGGGGCCTGATTGCAAGTCCTGAGTTCTTTTGCCCCCAAAGCACCTGGGAGGGGACTGGGAGGGGAAGCTGCCTCCATCCAGCAGTCAAGCCTGTTTCCTGCCACTCCTAACGTAGAATCAGACTCAGGCAAAGGACATGCAAGCTAACCCCTGCGTGATGGTGCCAGCCTGAGAGAAAGACGGTGTGTGCCACTGAGTCTGGGCACGGCAAGGCAGAGGTTCCCGGACTTAAGCACAGTCGATGGGGCACATGGGCCCTCAACGAAGCTTAGTTCCTTACTGCTTCCATCCTTTCCCCTTTTCCTCCCGGCAGCAGCGGTATTCCAGGTATCATCTCTTGCAAGGATTAGGCCAGGGCCTCATTAAAACAAAAAAAGGTGGTGGTTGGGCCTGGCCTGGAGCTCTTGCTTTCCGGGCACCCACCTGCTTCCTTGGGATCCTGACTGGAAGAGGAGGCTCCGGATGTCAGGGCCCAGGCTGGCGGGGGTGCACGGGTCCAGCACGTAGTGGCTGCCCTGCTTCCGACGGACCATCTTGTCCAGCCGAGGACAGAGCGGGATGCAGGGCACCTGGGCGTAGGGGCTCTGCAGGTTGGCAGCTGGCAAGGGAGGAGGGAGCAGGCAGACCCAGCTGAAGTCCCAGCTTGGCCGCATCCTGAGCTGGGTGGGTTTGGGCAAATTGTTTAACCTCTCTGAGCCTCCGTGTAAGCTGGAGGTGAGAACCCACCTCACAGAGCGGACGGTGAGGATTAAAGGGTAACACACGCCGAGCACAGTGTAAGGGCTAATAACAGCTCACACAAGAGCACATGTCTTTGTGATGGGTCCTGGCAGTCTGGTAGGCACGCTAGAGAGACTCCAGAAAGCTCCTAGCCCATGACTTGGCACACAGTCGGAGTCTAATCATGGGGAGGCAGCCTTGCCCAGTGAGAAGAGAACAGGTTTTAGAGTCAGACCTGGCTATACACTGCCCTTTCTAATACATGTTAGCTGTGGGGCCCTGGCCTTGGCCTTAAACTTGCTCAGTTCCACTGTTCTCATCTGTAACATGGAGTGAATGTGTGATCGTGAGGATTAAATTCTAGCCCATCTACAAAGGGCCTAGCACCGGGAGTGACCCCAGCGGGTGTTCAGTAAACGGTGAGCTGGGATTGCTAATTATCCGCCCTGCTCCGGGGAGGCTCTTGGGACCAACGTGTGCTCAGGGCTAAGCCCTGGGGAAGAGTGCAGAAGACCCTCATCAGAGGGCTAGAGGTGGGATACCGTGATTTTCAGACCACCGGCTAAGGCACACAGTTACATGCCCAAAGTGGGAAACCGCGTCTCTCAGCTGCTGGGTCTGTCTGTGGGGGCCCAGGGAAAGAGGAGAGCAGATGCTCACAGTGCCCAAGGCCCTCACCATAGTTCTGCTGCTTCAGCCGGCTCAGGATCCTGAGGACCCTTCGTTCTGGGACTTCCAAGTCTCCCTGCTGGGGATTGTAGGGAAGCTTCTTCCGGGACCGCAGCCGGCCTATGGCTGTCTCCATCTCTCGGGCCTTACAGGTGCCTTCCTTCAGCTTCTTCTGGTAATAGCTGGGGAGGCAGTGCCCACCCAGCTCAGCCTGGCTGTGTTTAATTTACCCTCCCACCCCCCTCACTCTTTCTGAGCCCCTGTTGTGTCTGGCCAGCTCTGGGACAGGGACACAAGCCCAGGAGTTAGGGGACCTGGGTTTTGGTCCCAGCTCTGCCATTAATTCCCTGTCACCGCCTTGCTTTGGGCTCCAGTCACCTGGACCCTCCATCTGCAAGTCACATGACTTCGGGCTTCAGGTGTCTCCCCCCCCCCGCCCCGGGTAAAAGGGATCAAACAGTCTTCACGTTGTAGGATTAAACAACAAAGCCCGTCTGAGCACTCAGCAACGTGGCCCGTGGAAAGAGCCTGGTCACCGTCACCTCTGCTTTCTGCCACTGATATTTTTACCTAGACGTACACGTGCTCTGTAAGACAGCTGTGTGATTAACCTGCTCCTGGGTTCGAGTTTTATTTTCTAGACTCACTGCTGCTTGCCTGCCCACTGGACTGTGGCTCTGTGCATGCATTCAGCAGATACCGAGCGGCTGTTTTCCTCAGGCCAGCGCGCGTCTAGGTGCTTGGGGAAGCAGTGCAGGAGATCTCCACAGAAGGTCCCTGCCTCCTAGCATCCCAGCCCCTCTCTCTCTCTCTGGCTACCACGGCAGTGACCACTGCACACGGACTTCAAGCAGCTTTGCACAGGGACAGTTGGAGGTGGCCTCACCTCAGGAGTCTCCTGCCTGGAAGCTTCTTTGATGCCCCGAGTGCAACCCGGAAGTGCAGGGGAATGAAACTGCCATGGGGGCCACCTTTGACCAAAGGAGCTAGCAGCTGAGGTACATGGGTTTCTCTTTCTTCTCCTGACAGAATTCTGAACCACTATCCATAGTCTCCTCAGAAGATCCTGGGGGTGGCTGACTCGACACATGCTTGTATTGGCTCCTCCTCTGGTCCCATTCCTTCTCTCACTCCTCCATGGAATCCCTTTCTAAATTGACCACCTAGGCATGCACCTAGTGGGAAGGACCGTGAACAAATAAATACAGTACCTGGTCGGTGGTGGTGGGTGTAATGAGTAAAAGCTGGACAGTGGGTAGTGATAAGGGACGATTTTGCTCACAGGGGCCAGCAGAATCTCAGAGGTGGTGATATTTGAGCAGAAAGAGGGGAGGGAGCAAGTCAAATGGATATCTCTGGAGGAAGAGTCTTTCAGGTAGAGAGAATGGCATGTGGAAAGGCCAGGAAGTGGGTGAGAGCTCAGTGAGCTCTAGGAATGGCAAGACCACCGGAGAGGCTAGGGCCTGGTATGTGAGGAAGAGTGGGAGATGTGGGCATCGAGATGGCAGAGACAGACCACCCAGGGCTTTGAGGCAGTGGTGAGGGGTGGGCATGCTACTCTTGGTGCTGGGAAACACTTAAGGCTTAAGTTGCTGGTTCTGCTGTGGTCTCTGCCTATCTCTGGGGCCTGGAATTTGGGGGTTTGATGAGCTTCACACATAGAACACAGAAAATGAATACCAGAGCCCTCACATGGAAGTTGGATCTAGACCCCTGTGTAAAACTAGGCCCTGAAAAGGCAGCATGTGGAGTAAAAACGATGACCTAGAAAATAACTTAACCCCACAGGGGCCAAAGGGACAAGAGCAAAATGTGTGCAACTTTCTCGGTCACAATTTTAAAGGAAATAGCTTGCTCTCTACTTCCTCTCTCCCTTTCCCGTGGGCTTGAATTCAGATGTGTTGCTGGTAAATTGGCTTAGGTTTGATCTAGGGAATGGTGGGACAATAAGTTAGAAAGAAACAATAAGTTGTGTGCTGGGCAGCCTTGTCTTCCTGTCTGCTTCTTCTGGAGTGTCAATATAAGAGAGAAATAAACTATCTTGTTTAAACTGTAGTGCATCGGGGTCTGTTCCTGAACTAATCCACCAATATAGAATTCTATACCTAGCTAATTCTAAACCTAGCTAAACTACTCAGTGCGACTATAAATAAACTCTTTTGCAGACACATAAACTCTCAAAAATTTTGTATCCCATGTATTCTTTCTCAAGAAGCTGCTGGAGGACATAGTCTTCTAAAATGAGGGCATAAACCAAAACAGAAAAGATACGCGTAGAGAAAACAGGAGATCAACACAGGAGATGCAAAGGTAGTGGAAGTTGGTAAAGGGGAATCCCACATTGGTGGTGCAGTTGCCATAAAGGACAGGTTTAGACTAGATCACTACAGTGTAGAAGACAGAATAGGGCTGCTGTTACTGCACCGGTGGTTGAATCACTTCCTGTGTAACCCAAAAAAGCTACCAGGGTAACATGCACCCGTTATTTTTTAACTAAACCAAACCAAGAAGGATTAAGCAAACCAAGGAAGAGTAAGGCATGTACTCTAACAGAGAATCCTAATCAGAGGAAAGGAAGAAAGAATTCCTAGGATGACAGCAGATCCCCAAGATGACAACTCTGTAGCAGGCTTAAAAAATTAATCCAAGGGGCGCCCAGGTGGCTCAGTGGGTTGAGCCTCTGCCTTAGGCTCAGGTCATGATCTCAGGGTCCTGGGATCGAGCCCCACATCGGGCTCTCTGTTCAGCAGGGAGCCTGCTTCCCCTTCTCTCTCTGCCTGCCTCTCTGCCTACTTGTGATCTCTCTCTCTCTCTGTGTCAAATAAATAAAATATTTTTTAAAAAAGAAATTAATCCAGAAATAATAATGAAATTATTTAGAACATGCCTTCAAGAAAAAGAAACTCTAAGAAGGTGGCACAGGAATTATTAACGAGTACAAAGAAAAAAAAACTAAGGCAATCGTCAACTTCGGGAGTTAGACAAGGAAAGGGGCATCTGGGTGGCTCAGTCGTTAAGTGTCTGACTTCAGCTCAGCTGATGATCCCAGGGTCCTCAGATGGAGCCCCCCATCTGGCTCCCTGCTCAGCAGGACGCCTGCTTCTCCTTCTCTCACTCTCCCTGCTTGTGTTCCCTCTCTTGCTGTCTCAGTGTCTCACTATCAAATAAATAATCTTTTTTAAAAAAAAGGAAATGAAGTCATAGTATAATAAAATACTCAGCTGTTAAAAATTGCTTAACCATAATAATGGAAACCCCCCAAAATTCTTCAGTTAAAAAAATGATAATATATTAGAACAGGTAGAGGGGAGTTTAGAAGATGGTTGTATCAGACAGCTAAACCCATACCATAACTGGAAGTCAATAGATACATGTAAAAAAAAAAAAAAATCACTAACCAAAATATTGTAGTACATGCATGTTATTTCCAAATGAGAAGAGAGTCAAAAGTATTTGTCTTGGGAAGGGAGACTTCAGGGAATGGGTACTGCAAGTGTTTATTACTAACCTTTTTGCACTGCTTGGTTTTTCCATTGTTCTTAACTTTTTTTTTTTTAAGATTTTACTTACTTATTTGACATAGAGAGAGAGAGAGTGAGAGAGGGAACACAAGCAGGGAGAGTGGGAGAGGAAGAAGCAGGCCTCCCACTGAGCAGGGAGCCCGATGTAGGGCTGAATCCCAGGACCCTGGGATCATCACCTGAGCTGAAGTCGGACACTTACCGACTGAGCCACCCAGGTCCCCTGGACTATTTGTTTTTTTGTTATTTATTTATTTATTTATTAAAGATTTTTATCTATTTATTTGACAGACAGAGATCACAAGTAGGCAGAGAGGCAGGCAGTGGGTGGGGAAGCAGGCTCCCTGCTGAGCAGAGAGCCCGATGCGGGGCTCGATCCCAGGACCCCGAGATCATGACCTGAGCCGAAGGCAGAGGCCCCAACCCACTGAGCCACCCAGGCGCCCCTGTTTTTTTTTTAAACAATGTATACATTACTTTAAAGTTTTAAGAATTAACTGAAAGGATAAAGTTATGTCAGTTGAATACTAACCAAAGGAAGTCAGTATAACCATATTATATTTAAAAAACTAGGTCTTGGGGCACCTGGGTGGCTCAGTGGGTTAAACCCTCTGCCTTCGGCTCAGGTCATGATCCTAGGGTCCTGGGATCAAGCCCCGCATCGGGCTCTCTGCTTGGCAGGGAGCCTGCTTCCCTTCCTCTCTCTCTGCCTGCCTCTCTGCCTACTTGTGATCTCTGTCTGTCAAATAAATAAGTAAAAATCTTAAAAAAAAAAAAAAAAGAGGGGCGCCTGGGTGGCTCGGTGGGTTAAGCCGCTGCCTTCGGCTCAGGTCATGATCTCAGGATCCTGGGATCGAGCCCCGCATCGGGCTCTCTGCTCAGCAGGGAGCCTGCTTCCTCCTCTCTCTGCCTGCCTCTCTGCCTGCTTGTGATCTCTCTCTGTCAGAAAAATAAATAAAATCTTAAAAAAAAAAAAAAAAGAAAAGAAAGCTAGGTCTTACGGCAAAAAGCATTACTAGAGACACAAATGATTACCATATAATGATAAAATGTTCAGTTCGTCAGGAAACAAAATTCTAAACATGAAATATAAGGCAAAATCTGATAAAACTACAAGGAGAAGTAGATAATTTTATTATCACAGAAGTGATAATGGATACTGAGCTTTGCTAATGTAGCATCAAGAAATCCATATACTATATGGGAATGAATGGATATGACTGCATTTTGATAAAAGTTTAAAAACAGAGCAAACTGGGGTGCCTGGGTGGCTCAGTCGTTGAGTGTCTGCCTTTGGCTCAGGTCATGATCCCAGGGTCCTGGGATCGAGCCCATGCATCGGGCTTCTTGCTCAGTGGGAAGCCTGCTTTCCCTCTCCTACTCCTGCTTGTGTTCCCCCTCTCACTGTCTCTCTCTGTCAAATAAACAAAATCTTAAAACAAAACAAAACTGAGTGTGGCCTGCAGCCCATAATCTGCTGACCTCTGTCTACCGTAGGCGTTATCTAAAACTAAAATCCGTAGGAGAAACAGAGTTTGGAAGTTGAGTCTACCAAGTTAGAGGGTTTAGGTAACACCTGGGCCTTTCACAGATATGCCTGAACAAAATAAAAAACCAAGACTACATAAACTCAGCCTGGCTAGGAACTGCCCACAAGAACA